ACTAATTTAATCTTCATAACAGCCTGTAAGGTAGGTAACTATAACTATCCCATTCTACCAATCAAAGAACTAAAGCAAAGAGGTCAAGAGAGCTGTCTAAGGTCACACAGCTAGGAAGTACAGAGTTGAGATTCAAACCCAAGCAGGCTACTCCAGTGTCTGGCTCTTAACCACTATGTCCCATGTATAGAAGTTTACGTAACAGAACTACAACCCAGGGAGGTAATACAAGGCAGAGTAGGTTTCAAAGAGTGGATGGGCAGAGAAGCCTGTAGAGCACCTAAAACAACAGAAAGTGACTCTCTGAGCTAGACAGGAAAATCAGGGGATAAGTACCAGGGACATCATATGGCAAATGATGGAGAGGTCTGTGGGGTTTGTCTTGTGCTGTCTATTCTATGAATACAGCTATTTTTATTTTCTCTTGATTCTATCATCTCAAATTCTCTCCATACAAGTAGTTAGCTGGACAGAGGAACTCTTATAGTCAAAGCCAAAACTGCTAACCCCATGGGAACCAACCAGGCAAGAGATGAGTGACTCAGCACAATTCCTACCATGTGTGAAGAGCTCAAAGTGCAGCACCTTCACACATCTGCCGTACACAAGCTGCCTGCCTGTGCTGGAGGTGACCGAAACTATCCAGCCACTCTTTTGATACTTAAACCCTCTCTATTCACTCCAGCCTGGAAGATCTTGCCCCACACACACCAATCCCACTCAGATAATTCTAACTCTTCCTTAGTATTTACCAGAAATTGTCTCTTCATGGCCTCCCAATCACCATGCTTTTCCTAAGCTAGCAAAGATTAAACTAATACTTCAAATGACAGTCCTTTAAATATCTTTGGAAAGGGAACATGGTGTGATTTTTCTGCCAAACCATCCCCTTCTTCCCCACAACACACACACACACACACACACACACACCTCTTCTTTATCAAGCTAAATCAATACACTCAGTCCCACCAACAATCCTTCATATGACCTGGTTTTAAATCTCTTCCTCATCCTTGTCTCTCTACTATTCATATGAGATCCACTCTACTATCCAAATAAGATCTACTATCCATATAAGATCCTTACCTCTCCCATAATATGTAGTATAGCAGATACATTATATTGCTGACTCATAGTGAGCAAATCCTAAAGATCTGTTTCACATATGCTACTTCTAGCAGCCATGGCTCATCTTTCCTCTCTTTATGCAGCTGGTATTCATGACTCCTGTCTGCCCACTAAAGTTCATACTACTTTTGTGAGCCTCAATCCCATTTCATTGTGTTACTCTCCCAAGCTCCTAATAGCTGGATCCACTGACACCAGCAATACCATTACCACCTTCAGACTAATCCAGATCCCACTTCCTCAATCAATCTTGAGCAAGGCAAATGTGCATTCACAGCCTCAGCCTACATCTGAAACACAGAATTAGGTCACTTTTCCAGGGGTACTTGGGTTGCTCAGTCAGTTAAGTGTCTGCCTTTGGCTCAGGTCATGAGCTCCCATCGCATCAGGCTCCCTGCTTAGCAAGGAGTCTGCTTCTCCCTCAGCCCCTCACCACCCACCCCCACCCCACTTATGCTCACTCTCTCAAATAAATAAAATCTTTTTCTTAAAAAAGTTACTTTTTCAGCTTTTACTGACAAAAATCAACCCTGAATTCAGGTGGTTCCAGGACTAACCCTAAGGGTTCTTTTTTTTTTTTTTTTTAATTTTTATTTATTTATGATAGTCACAGAGAGAGAGAGGCAGAGACACAGGCAGAGGGAGAAGCAGGCTCCATGCACCGGGAGCCCGACGTGGGACTCGATCCCGGGTCTCCAGGATCGCGCCCTGGGCCAAAGGTAGGCGCCAAACCGCTGCGCCACCCAGGGATCCCCCTAAGGGTTCTTACATTGACCCTTCCCCCACTTTATCCCTAGTGCATCCCTAAAATTAAGTATGAATTTTTTATCCCTAAATCACCAATTCAATGGCCACAGATTATTGCTTTCACCCAAATCACTGACCTTGAAACAATGTTCCATTGTAATAGGAAGAATAAGACAAAACTGCAAAATTACCCATTTTCTGAGATATCATTCAGAAAACATATTCTTTGGTCTATAGGTAGCAGGCTAATTTTTTTCTATATGTGAAAAACAATCTCACATTCTCCTAAAAAGTGTTACTGAACTTCCAAAAGTAACTTTCAATAAAATATTTAAATCAATTAATACCAAACAGATGGTAAGCACACATACTATGCTTCAAATACTACAAATAACATCATTTTTTACAAAAATATGCCAACAATCACAGGCAAAAGTACAGAGGCCATCTAGCCCCTTCCTTGATTTCAAATAAGAAAACCAAGTCTCTAAGAGACTAAGTGACTTATTAAAGGTGTCAGATTGGGATCCCTGGGTGGCGCAGCGGTTTGGAGCCTGCCTTTGGCCCAGGGCGCGATCCTGGAGACCCGGGATCGAATCCCACATCGGGCTCCCGGTGCATGGAGCCTGCTTCTCCCTCTGCCTGTGTCTCTGCCTCTCTCTCTCTCTCTCTTTCTCTCTCTCTCTCTCTCTCTCTCTCTCTCTCTGTGTGTGTGTGTGTGACTATCATAAATAAATTTTAAAAAATTTAAAAAAAATTTTAAAAAATAAAGGTGACAGATCAGGCCACTGACAAGCTTGAAACAAGGACTCAGTCTTCCAGATTCCCAATCCATAGAAATCTTTAAGGTACAATGGGCTTTACAAAGTTTGAAACAGACACAGTATCTACCCTAAGAAGTACACACATATAGTAAGTACACCATGTGATCCATAGAACATTATGAAATGCTAAGCAATTAAAACATAAAATGATACAGATCAACACTCATATGCCTTTACCATACCAGTTTCTCCAAGTGTTGACTATAAAACAAAAAGTTGTTAAAAGCTAATCATTTTAATCCTCTCTCTTCTACTTAATAGCTACATAAGCTTGAGGAAGTTACTCAACCTTTATTTCTTCATCTGGCAAATAAGGATAGTAGTGTTTACCTCACACAGTGCTTACAAAGACTACATAAATTAGTAAATTACGAAGTACTTGGAATAGTACCTGCCACTGCAGGCACACACTGCTCTTCTTTACTTATGTGTTATTCTTTTCCACTTAGATAACAATCAACTCTTGATATTTATCATATCTCTGTAAGTCTAGCCAACTTTCACATGACACTGGAAAAAAAAATATGAGATTTCCTAAAGGACCCAGGTTTTGAGTCAAAAATTAAATAACAGTAGAGACATGGGAGAAAATAATGGATACATGTCCATTAGGCATAAGACAAATGTTCAGAAATCAGGAGAACTTGACACCTGGGTGGCTCAGTGGTTGAACATCTGCCCTCAGCTCAGGTCATGATCCTGGGGTCCTGGGATCAAGTCCCACATCAGGCTCCCCACAGGGAGCCTGCTTCTCCCTCTGCCTGTGTCTCTGCCTCTCTCTGTGTGTCTCTAATGAATAAATAAATAAAATCTTAAAAAAAAAAAAAAAGAAATCATGAGAACTTAATATGGAGAATGACAGGCTTTGCCTGCCTTGGATGGACAGTTATGGGGCGAAAAATACAACGGTTTTCAAAACCAGTCAAGCCACAGACATTTTATTTATCACATCAAGTTTTCAACACCCCATCACCACCACCACAACTACCACCAAGAGCCTCTTTACACTCCCTAACCATTCTTACTTCCTCTACTTCTTCCCCGTATTAACAGATTCAAGGAGGAAAAAAAACCCTAGAAAACAAAAATGGAGGTTTCCCTGAAATATAATTCCCATTTAATCTCCCATGAATTATAAAGAGAAGCACAATGCATTAATTCCCCTTCCATCTGCTGCCTGACAAGCTTTAGGTAGACCTGGCTTATCTATCTTCTACACTCTGAGTTAGTGCTGCTATCCATGGCTGGCAAATGGTTAAGAGCAATTCAGCTGCACATGATCAGAAGGGGTGAAAAATCTCAGTGAGGATCAGTGTGCACTTTTGGAGAACTCTAAAGGAGATCAGAATTTAATCAAAGTCACTTACCTGATGCTTACACCCATGCAACATCATATAAAATGGAATAATGAGAGAAGAGACTGACCAGGTTTAAGTGGCTAGACAGGAGGTGACAGGAGGGTGATAGAAGCAAGGACAAAAAGGAGAAGATTTTCAGAGTCATAAAGAACTGTGGCAAGATATGACAGCAAATTAGACATACTGGTTAAAACTTAACGAGGCTTGAAGATCACCCAAGATAATAGGATTTAGTAGGAGACAGAAAGTAGGTACTGCTGGCAATTATGACAAGACCAGCTCTGGGAAAGAGGATATAGGTAGAATCACAAGTTTAGCCTTGTCATATTTAATTTTAGGTGAAAGCCAAGAATCCAGTTGGAAGCGTCCTCTGGGTAGCTGGAAAATCATAACATTATGGAGCATTTCTAGTAGGTTCAGAATATCAGCCAGCTCACAATTTCATTGATTTAAGAGCTTTCTCTCATTAGCAATAATATGTCTTTAAATGACAAGCACTTAAAAACATGAAATAGGCACAAGGAGGATTTAGAATGTATTAAAATTGAGTAACATTATATTATGAATTATGAACAAAAAGTGGGAGCATTTAAGCTGTAAGTTCAACATACAAAGATGATTTTACCGAGAATAACTACCAATTTTTTCCATTAAAAAAAAAAACATTGATGTCACTGTCAGGCAGTGAATATTAGGAGTATGGATCATTATTCTGACCTCAGGTAGTATTTCACGGGTTTATTATATAACATAAAGAAAGTACAATACTACTTTAAGTTCTATGAATCAAATTTTTAGCTTTTATTCAAATTCTCACTGACAAATCCCCATGTCAGTTTTCTTGACGGACTTAAATATAGAAGCAGTCATAAAACAGTCAAAGGAAACTGGAAACTTTTTTTAAGACAATCACTGCTTATAAAGTTGAAATAAAAAGACATACCACACTCTCCTTCAGCTTCCTTAGTTTATCATCTATCTCTCTCAGCCGGTTTTGCTGATCCCGTTGCTCTTTGGTGTTCTGAAGCACCTTTTCTCCTGGTGTTATTTCCATATTTCTATCATCAACATTAAGGTCAGGTTCCTAATTTAAAAAAAAAAAAAATTCATGCACAGGCTGAAAATGTAGTATCCTACACCACTGCAAAGCAATTGAGCTTTGAAGACTGGTTTTGCTTCTCAAACAGTATTTCTTCCCTTCTGAATGACATTCATAATTCTCCAGATTCCTCCTGTTTGAGGGGGAAAGGTCCAACTGTACACGAAACAAGTAAGAAAATAAACTCAGTCATCCAGAAAGCAAGACATTAGAGTGAAAAGAACAGTGGCCAGGAAGCAGCATCTGGGCTCTGGTCGCCACTCTGGACTTAAAGCTTAAGATCTTGGGCAAATCATGCTTTCTCTGGACTCCAAGTCTATCATATATAAATGACAAGAAAAAAGTCCTGCCTGTCCCTGCTATAAGAGACCAAGGTTTAATAGCAAACCGGACTTGGCAAAGTCAGGAGTTTTGAATCCTGGCTTTACCTGGTTCCTGACTAAGATAGCCATAGGGAAATCAGACCCTGTCTGAGTTTCAGTTTCATCATCTGCAAAATGATAATATCTAGTGCCTAACACATGTGAAAAGAATAAGAACTACAGGGGCGCCTGGGTAGCTCAGAGATTGAGCATCTGCCTTCAGCTTGGGGCATGGTTCCAGGGCCCTGGGATCAAGTCCCGCATCAGGCTCCCCTCAAGGAGCCTGTTTCTCCCTCAGCCTGGGTCTCTGCCTCTCTCTCTTTGTGTCTCTCATGAATAAATAAATAAAATCTTAAAAAGAAAAAAAAAAGAATAAAAATTACATAGCGAAATTTTATCAGCAATATTTGAAAGGACAGAACCATAATCTCCCAAAGTTAATATTATTTCTAAGTGATAAAAATGAGTATTTTCTTGACAATTAAGTTGGCCTTATATCTCTAACTAAACTTCCCACTTCTCTCCCACAGATCTCCTACTCTGTGTTGCCAAGCAGGGGCCTGACACAAATGTCATGTTTGAAGTTGCTCAAACCAGAATCCTCCCCCATTCTCACAACTTACAGATGACTGGTTGCCAAGAAGAGTCACCATCTCATCTTCTACTAGCTCTTCATCGAGGCCCTCCTCTTTGTCACTCCCTCATCATTCCCCTGAACCAGTGGTTTCCAAAGCCCCATGTGCTTCAGACTTAGCCACAGAACCTGGGAACATCTTCAAAGGCCCCACCCCCACATTGGACATTCTGACTCAATGGGGGACCACCATTGAGTCAGACGGACCACCAGACGGACCAACCATCTGACCACCAGATGGACAACTACTTGAAAATTGGAGAACTGTCATCTTCAGCGACTGCTCAGGCCTCGTGACTGATCTGAGGACCACCAGCATCCCCATTCACTCCATCCTTTGCAAAGAAGCCACAGAGCAAGGTTCAAAGTCCTCAACCCCTCCTGCTCTGTGCCCTGGCTAGCTCTCCAGTCTTGTGTCCCATTGCTTGGGTCTCAGACCCAAAGGCACAGTGATATTCACTACTCCTAGTTTTCCCCGCCACTCCTTGCCTCTTTCCTCCAGCTCCTCACGAAGACTCCTACTCTTTTAGAGCACAAGTTTATTTCCTATATAAAACATTCCCTAACATACTTAGAAGGGCAATTTTTCTCTTGATCATGCCACATGTTCTCTTAGGGCATTGACCACACTGTCACTGCTCAGACAGGGATCATGGCTGATCCCATTCTGTATCACCATACAAACCATAATCCTGAAGCTGTATGGACACGGCTCAATGGACTATATGGCTGATCCTTGAACAACATAAGTGTGTAATGCTTGGTCCACTTTCATGTGGATTATTTTTTTTTAATTTTTTATTTATTTATGATAGTCACACAGACAGAGAGAGAGACAGAGACATAGGCAGAGGGAGAAGCAGGCTCCATGCACCGGGAGCCCGACATGGGATTCGATCCTGGGTCTCCAGGATCGCGCCCTGGGCCAAAGACAGGCGCCAAACCGCTGCGCCACCCAGGGATCCCTCATGTGGATTATTTTTCAACAAATATAGTGCAGTACCATCAATGTATTTTCTCTTCCTTATGATTTCCTTTCCTCTACCTCACTTTAGTGTAAGAATGCAGTATAAAAAACATATAGGGCACCCGGGTAGCTCAGTGGTTAAGCATCTGCCTGTGGCTCAGGTCGTGATCCTGGGATCCGGAGATCAAATCCTGTATCAGGTTCCCCACAGGGAGTCTGCCTCTCCCTCTGCCTGTGTCTCTGCCTCTCTCTGTGTGTCCCTCATGAATAAAATAAATAAAATTTTAAAAAAAAAACCTCTAAAAATTTTTTTAAAAAACAGCATTCAAAATATGTGTTAATCGGCTCTTTATGTGATTGGTGAGGCTTCCAGTCAAGGGTAAACTATGGGTAATTAAGCTTATGAGAAGTCAAAAGTAACATACAGATCTTCAATTGCACAGGGGGTCAGTGCCCCTCGCCCCTACATTATTCAAAGGTCAACTGTCATTTGGTTCTCAGAATTCTGATGACACTACTGTTTCGATGAAATTTATATAGTATCACATTCTAATGAGGAGACTATTAAAAGAGTATTTCAATTTCAAGAAATAATTCTTTTACATTTTGTAGTCCCCAAAAGGGGACTCATTTCTGGTAGCTTCAATCTCTAGAAGCACCCAGAGGGTGAGTTATTATCAGAAATATTTTTAAGAAGGAAACCTAATGTTAGGCATTTGGAAAAGATGGCATGAAGGTCCTTCTGCAGCTTGCATCTAGTATTTCATGAACTTTCATAGAGATATCCCTACTATGGAGTAGGATACACAGTGTCTTAGTCTGCCTGAGTTGCTAGTACAGAAGACCACACACTGGGGGGCTTATAAACAACAGAAACATAGTTCTGGGGGCTTGGAAATCTGGTATCAAGGCACTGGTAGACTTGGTGTCTGGTAAAGGCCTGCTTCCTGGTTCCTAGATGACTATCTTCTTGGCTATACCCTCACGTGACAAGAAGGGACAGGGGAGCTCTTTGGGTCTCTTTTATAAGAGCACTAATCTCATTCATGAGTGCTCCCCCCTCATGACCTAATCACATTCCACAGTCCTGACCTCCAAATACCATCACATTGGGGATTAGATTTCAACATATTAATTTTGAGATTATATAAACATTCACTCTATAAAATACAGAGAGATGAAAAATATCCAAACTGGATTTCATTTTAAATGGAAATCTTTTTTTAAGGACAGCATTTTAATAATCTACAACTACGATTTTTTTAAATCTTCAAGTAGGCAAAAAAAAAGGCACAGAAAGAAAATTTTTTCTAAATCAAACTTCATCAATATATTAAATTTTGCTTATTCAAACCACCATTAAGGCAATCCACAAACTGAGAGTATAATATTATAACACACAAACCTATCAAAGGACTTGTATCCATAATATGTAAAGAATTCACACAGTTCAGTAATAAAGAAAAATAAATTCTAAAAAAAAAAAAAAAACAACTAGCTTGAAAACTACTTGAGTAGATACTTCATAAAAGATATGTGAATGACAAGCACATGAAGAAGTCCTCAACATCATTAAATCATCAGGGAAATGTAAATTAAAATAGCAATCAGACAGTACTACACAGCCACAGAAATGGCCCAGGAAAAATTTTGTTAACACCAAATGTTGGAAAGGCGTGGACCAAGAGGGAATTCTCAGGTGTTATTGGTGAAAGTATACAAATGGTACAACCACTTTGGAAAATTGTTTGACAGTTTCTTAAAAAGTTCACTGTTGTATATCCTGTGACCTGGCAATTCCACTCCAGTGAATCCATCTAAGAGAAATGAAAATATATGACTGAAGCCTTGTACACAAATGTTCATAGCAGCTTTATGCATATAGGTGAATGTCCATCAAGACAAGAATGATAGGGATCCCTGGGTGGCGCAGCGGTTTGGCGCCTGCCTTTGGCCCAGGGCGCGATCCTGGAGACCCGGGATCGAATCCCACATCGGGCTCCTGGTGCATGGAGCCTGCTTCTCCCTCTGCCTGTGTCTCTGCCCCTCTCTCTCTCTCTGTGACTATCGTAAATAAATAAATAAAAAACCTTTTTAAAAAAAAAAAAAAAAGACAAGAATGATAAACTAACAAACTGTGGACAGCACCTGACTCAAGCTAGGACAATTGGACTCTTTCTCCTTGACCTTTGCCTTGTGGTTAGCTTATTTTTTTTTTTAAGATTTTATCTATATTTCATCAGAGACACAGAGAAAGAGTCAGAGACATAGGCAGAGGGAGAAGCAGGCCCCCTGCAGGACTCAATTCCAGGACCCTGGGATCATGCCCTGAGCTGAAGGCAGATGCACAACCACTGAGCCACCCAGGCATCCCAGTGATTAGCTTTAATCAATGTGAGGGGAGACTGGAAGGTGGGAGAAAAGAGGGCTTGCAGTATTTTTCCCCTTCTCCTTTCTGCTTTGGCATTATAGTTTGGGCAGCAATGTATCCCCAAAGTGGCCATCAGAAGAGTTTTCTTAGATTCAAGTGAATATTCAAGCTCAAAGACAGAGGCCACACATGGAGAGAGTCTATTCAGAAGAATATAATACAGGAAACACGGCAGGGCAGTGTCAGGTATCCCTCTTCAATGAGAGTTTTTACTGCAGTCATGCCATGACAGTAGATGCGCAAGGGGCGAGGAAGCTACCCTGCTTAAAAAAGCTTCATATTTCATAAGAACATCATCTCTTGAAAATGGTCCCACAGACATGCCCCCACAGGGTCCTGGCAAGGGACATGCCAGTCTCAAGAATCACTGCACTTAGGAGACCCAAGGTATGGCTTCCCCACCACACCTTTATTTATGATTCCCCCAATCCCGGGGTCATTTTGCTTTCCAACATCATTAACATTGCGACTTTCATCAGATTGCCAGGGAAACAGGAAGTTAACCAGAGCTCAAATTCTCATGCTGAAGGGGGAAAGCTTGGTCAATGCTTTGCCCAGGCCTTCTATGATTACAATTTTGGATGGCTGGTT